TCGACTTTATCGGGTTTATATGCATGTGTACTACATATAAATGTGCGTCTAAACTAAATTATTTAAACAATGTCTAAAATATAGATTAATTTAGACATTGAGACCATGAATGTTGAAATTGAATTTTTATTGAATAATTTACCGAACTTTGTATATTTTTAGTTGGATTTAAAACAAATCATTACTATTTATATTAATTTAGACATTTAGACATTTTTGTCTAAATACTATTTTGACTTTAGACAAACCCAAAAACAATTTAGGCGCCCATCTATAGTACTACTACTACCATAAATTAAACTCCGGTTTAAATCCGGTTATTTTTAAAGTAAAATTTCGCGGAGATCGGGACCGGTTAATCAGTTAACCCGGTTAAAGGTAGGACCGAGAAACTATATGTTACTGCAAAATCAAATGGCCAAACATATAAATTCGAATCTTGCTTTTTTATAATTGTGCGAATCAAAATAGCCTGTGACATGTAAAATTTATTAGCAGATTATACGATAAATCACTATCTACTAAAATCAAATTAAAACTCAAATTGGAAGATTAGCATTCCCTCGGAAAATAAACTACGACTTGTGGTGTAATATGAATCACCTGCCAAGTTTTTACATAAACTTTAATAGAATATATGATAAATTATCCAAAAATCATGCAAGTTTTTCAACTTATTCATTATTGATTCGCAATTCAATTTTTACTCTTTTAAACTTTGCACTTGATAATTGCTTCCAAGTGAAATAGATTTACCATATTTGCAAATAACTGTTTAACTATATAATAATATCACGAATTATAATACAACCAGTGGGTGGCCTTTTCCTTTTCTTCTTCCTTATTAATGTGTGGGCAGTAACATTTTTAAATTTTAAAGTACTATTGAATCATAGTGTTGGTGGTGACATTTAATAGAGATTTCCCAGCCCAGTCTAATATTACCTGGTTAAAAACACCCAAACCTCGTTTCAACGGATCCAAGGGACTGACCGCCTAGATCCGTTGAAACGAGATAATGATTGTAATTGACACGATCAACAGGCATAATATTTGCATGCTTTTTTTAATTTTTTTGATAGGAATTTCAAGCCATCTATTAGATTCTTTCAATATATCACTAACTTGGATTGTGCTAACGTTATATTTTTGTGCTAATTAAATATTCTTTTGTGATGTTTAGCTTGTTTCAATAAATATAATTCGCGTTTTTTCTCAGCAGTAATATGTACACGTTTGTTGGAAGAAGAAAAAAAAGATATTTTATAATTTAAAAAAACTATTAATTGTGTAGAATTATTATATAGAAGATATTTATTTATTATCAATTTTAAAAAATTCAATAAAGAAAATTTCATCTTTATATTAATATATACATTTAGAAGAGAGTTGGATCTTTAATTAAACATTAGTAAGGTTTTGCTTTTTAGATAATTTTATTTGGAGAATTATTAGTGTAAAGACATTATTTAAAAATATGATTAGTAATGTAGATTTATTTTTTTTTTGGAATTTGAGGATCATTCGTGTAAAATACGGAATCTTAATGTGATTTATTTTTTAATATTAAATTATAATTGGGAAAATTATATCACGCGAATCCGTTGTAACGCGATTAGTATTATCTATTGCTAAAATCCTACCAAAAACCCATTGTCCGTTGAACGCGATTTAGATATCATAGTCAACGCCATCAAAACTTGAAAATTTCAAGACATTGTTCTCCACTATTTTGTCACGTGATTGTCTAAATGGTTTATTCTAAAAAAAACATTCAATAATTTTGCAGATGGTTTCCAAATTCCCTTGTCTAAAAAAAAAAAAAGGACGTTTTTAACTACTTTACTAGTTGAACGTTTAATATCCAAATACTTTGAAAATGTTTAATGATAGAAGATAAAGAATTCTTTAAAAAAATGTTACTGTATAAACTCTAAGGCATTTGAGGATCCACTATTTTGCAATTATGTTCAAAAATATATTCTTGATCGAATTTCGTTGTCAACATTTACATATTGATATGTTGGAATATATGATAAAGATGCTAAAAATCCGCGATCACAAGAAATTTAAAAAATTACTTCTTTTTTTACTTTTATTTTTTTAAAAAAAAAGTGTAAGGACGATGTCTCATTTGGAGAGTGTGTATATATATATATTACAATATGATTTATTACATAAATAAATTCTAAACCTTGTTTATAATAGGTCTTTGATGTAACAGAACAGATTTTATGTTATTAGAGTCCATCTGAATAGGGATATTTGCTAGCGAATAGTTTTAGGCACGATTTAATTATTTCTCAAATCGAACTTTTTTTATTCAAGAAAGTTATTGTTAAGGTACATGGAATTCAAGTTTTTTTTAATATACATAATGTTTCATTATAGGAATATTCCCTCGTGAAGTCTACTTTATCAATTCTAATGATGTTGTCTACTAAGGCTGCTATTGTACCTCGTCAACTTAGACTATTTTATAGTCTTAGTTTTACTCTAACCCGAGTTTTTTAAGCGGTGTTCTTGGAACCGGTTCCAAAAGACCAGTCTTTGAGCTGAGCCAGTACAGTACAACCCTACTTTATAAGCATCAATTCTCAATTTTCTTAATGGTTCAATTGCTTTCGGGTGTCTGTCTGAAGCAATTTATTTCAAAATTTAATTCATTTATTTGCATCTTTAGGAGCTCCAAGTTTTCCATTATAATACAAAATCGATCAAGCTGTTGTGTTTCCATTATCAGCAGATAATCTAAGGTATTTAATAAATAAATCTTTATCAGCATTTTTATCGTCCACCATATAATGCATATAATGCAATTGAGCATCACAATTCTCATCAGCAGCTTCTTGAAACAATTTAATAGTATTTTCTTTATCCACATGACCATAATATCCTCATACAAATAATATTCTTTTTGAGCCTTTTCCATCTCTTTAGTTTTATCTGTTCGAAGACCTGGAATAATCGGCATAATTGAATCGGGCTTATTAGTTTGTTTAACTTTTAAAAATTCCTTGTCATCATCACCAATAGAAACGGAATGTTTACTATGTGTTATAACACCGTCTGAATTCCTTTCTTTTTTGGGAGATGTAACATTTTCATTGTTTTTACCATATGTTGAGGTCAAATTATTCAATTTTAAGAAAATATGTTGAAAGGATGACCTTATTGTGGAATCATTTCTCCAAGCTAATAATAGAATAATAGAAAACATATTAATACTTTATTGTTTTCTATATAAAGATCAAAAATTCTATAATTTACAGTTTGACCTACCTGTAAAGATATTTGAATATTCTTTTTGTAGTTTAATTTTTCGCATATCCCATTTTTCATAATGTATTCTTTCAAATCCAGGCTTCAAAAGTAGCATTCCAAAGCTAATTTATGTGTTTTTTGTTCAAAATAAAAAATGTATATATATATAATTAAATGAAAATATGGATATACATTGTAATAATATATAGAAATAAAATCATCTTTTACCTAAATGTTTCATATTTAAAATTATAATATTGTTTAAAACCACATGATAAACTTTCTGGTGCACCTTGAACATCAAAATTTGGTTCCTTTTTTTTAGTAATCTGATTTTTTTTAAATAAATAAAATAAATATTATTTTAGATGAATATATTTACATATTTATATATATATATACATAATATATTTTGCATGGTTTTATTTGTTTACCATAATGTTTCCACAACATATATCATGATGAAGTATTTTACATGAGTATAAAAATATAAGTCGATGACAAATTCCAAGAGCTATTGATACTTTGTCAGGCCAACTAGTGACATAGTTGTTGTAAACATTATCCAAATTGCCCATTTCCGCCCATTCAAGGACCACAACTGTAGAAAGACCATAGAATATCAATATATTCTTTGAATCATGTAATTTTTCCAAAATAGCTAGTTGTTTTTGAATCTTTTGATATTCATTATCTGATAGATCATGAATTATTATATACCGACAAGCAACTTTTTCACTATTTTTTAAATTTTTTTTGCAAATATAATATGGCCTTTCTCCTCGGAAATCAGATGATTTTTTATACTCTGGATCTTGTAACATATTTGGTGGTATTTGAGTTGCCTTTATAGTATTATTATTATCACCTTGATTACCCTTTGATTCTACTTGAGTTTTGATAGTATTTACTTTTTGCAAAGATGTGTTCATTTGTTTGTTATCATCAACAACTTTCCAAACCTAAATTTTTTAAAAAATATATATATTATAATTATAATGATAATTAAGATTATATTAATTATAATGAATAATTTTTTAACCTCTTTCATTGTTTCATAACTCTCTTTTAAACTTTGTTGATCAATTTTTTTTTGCTCCTCGGGAGCAATAGTTGTAAATTTTAAATCTCCCATAACAGTATCGATATCTTGAGTAAGATCTTCAAATATCTTTTCAAAATTTTTTGCAGAATTATATTTATTATATCCAGGATGAGTAATATCACTAAGAAATTCTTTTATTTTTAATAATATAGTGGTAAAACGTTCAAAGTGTTTGTGATAGTCATCATCACGAAAAATGTGTTCATTTTCCTCTTTTCTACGTTCAAGATTTTTAATATGAATTTTAGCAACATCCACACGATCTAAAAACACATTACAAATTTTTTTGTTATACTCTGCATTTTCAAAAATATTAATAATTTGATTTATCATAGCGTTTGATGTGGATATTAAAGGAGCAAAAGGTTTGAATGCTGAATCAACAGTGTTATGTGGTAGTTTATACATTATTATTTTGTGAATGAGTGAATTATTCGAGCGGATGAAATTGACTTTCGGAAATACTGGAAAAATGTAAGGAATATTCCGTTACAGAATTTTATCCCATGAAGTTTCCATTATTTTCCACATTTTAATCGAAATATTAATGATTTTGCTGATACCAATACACTACGTGGTCAAAAGGCATAGCAAAATATCGTATAGTAAAAAATATCTTATGTTTTTGTGATTATACATCAATTTCATTGGGACATCGATACTTTGGACGTCTTCTAATTCTTCTTTCTAATTCTGACCATAAATGTTCAGTTGAGTTCAAGTCAAGTAATATTTTTTGAATTTGGAATAAAAACCACCACGGTGAAATCTGGCATTTAACGTTGAAAGGTTTGTATTTTCAATGTTAAAGTCAAAATCTTTGGTATAATTATTAATAATAATTAAATAATGTGTAAATAGTTCTAAGAAGGAGACATTGATGTCATAAGAAAAATAATTCATATCCCTATTAAAAAAGAAGATCCGTTTTAAAATTCCGATAATGTCGAATTTTATCCAATACAAATCAGGTATTTAACTGTTCTATAGTATTTTTGTCCCACCACATACAATGGGAAGATTTGGTAAACAAAGTAAAGAGTATATGGGAAAATAAGTTTTTATGAAATGCAAGGTATTGGTAGGGATATCATCAATAAAATAAAAATTATATGTTTACTATTTAGTGAATGTAATCGTCTTTATGGATTGCACTATGGTTGTCTCGGTCCAAATATTTCCAATGCTGTGCCACGCGATCAAATTTCAAAAATAGCGATTGATTTCTTCATAAAAAAAATGGATCATCACATGATTGGATTTTAAAAATTATTTTTACTGCCAAATTTAGATATGATGGTCGTAATCGTAACCATGTACTAAAAAAGAACAACAAATAATTTTTAAAAATAGACTATTATATCAACTATGAAACTAATGAGGTCACTCTTTTAAAAAGGTAGGTCAGAAAGTGACTTCTATACTTTTAAAATTTGTGCGAATTTGAGGAGTCTTTAGACCGAGCTAATTATATGTTAATAAATAGATCAGTACTAATGATTTTTTCCAAAAATGTATCATATTTATGTAATTTATTGCAGTTACAAATTTATGGAATATTTCTGGAATAAAAATAACGGAATTTTTTTTTACGGGATATATGTCTGTTTGTTAATATTTAATTATTTATTTTATTAAAGTAGAAGCGCAATATAATTTCATAACAGAAGAAACGAAGTGAAGTCTTTGAATTAAAACTTTTTTGTGAGAAATATCTTTGGAAAGGACATTTTTTTATTCGTCATTTTCCTAGACATCATAAAGGAGTAGAACTTGCAAGAAACCTATGATACAATTCTTTTGTGTTTTTGCTATGCGGGGTTTTGCGTAATCCATTGTGTTAGGGCGTGCAATATTTTGACCATGTAGTGTAGTTTCCAAATTGTTTTCCAAATAAAAATACAAATACTTTAAAAAATGGAACAGTCTTTTTATTCCGAAATCCATTTTATTCCGAGAAAGTAAAAAATTTAATTGATGCTTAATAATGGAAAATAAAGATTTTTTTTTAAAAAAAAAATCGGTGCTGTGTAAACTTTAAAGCATTTGAGAATGCAACTACAACAGATTCCCTAAAAAAAAATGATCCGTGTTTTAAAATTCCATATTTTTTCCAGGAATGCACATATTTATGGAGAAATTTTGCAAAGGAAACATGTAATTTGTTGCCGTTACAAATTTATGGAATATTCCTGGATTTGAAATTAAAAATAACAGGATATTTTTTTCTATAAAGGATTTGCTACTGTTAAACTTAAATTGATAGATTTGATGAAAGATTGTTGTGAATTTTCTTAAATTATTCAAAATGCCAAGATACTTGGAACCGCTCATTAGATTATAATTAGATGATTTATTGTGATGTATTTCATAGCCACTTTCAAAATATTCATAAACTAGATTGTTATGGTTTCTGAATTTTCAATAGATTGGCAAATTATGTGGTCTGGATCAACTAACTAAAGAACTATTCATATAAGCAATATCTAAATTCGTCAGAGGAATTCAAAAGGTAATTAAAATCAATTACTATATTAAATTAACATTGCAAGCTAATGATGTATGACGAAACTTTTGACTTTTAGTCATTGACGTAACTAAAGTTTTGATGATTTGGACTAAAGTAAAAGCTCTTGACGTAAGTAAAACCACTTGACGTAAGTAAAAATGCTTGATACAAGTAAAAACACTTGATACAAGCAGCAATAATGATAAATGATAAAATAGGATGATCAAAAGTTCCAAAATGTGTGTCCTGTAGATGAATAAAGAATTATTATATCATTATATGTATATTGCAATGATGCAAGAAGCATAATTATCATGGGAAGTTTACAAATGTTATAATTTGAATTAGAAATTTTACTTAATTAAACTACTTATTTTTTTCTGTGTATTTTCTTTCAAATAAAAACCATTCTTTTATTATGTTTTTTCAAAATTTTGACTTTGAATTTAACTACAGAACTACGCGTAATAATATTAATAATGTGCTTGAGCTGTCTTTAGTGTCTGAGTTTGAAACAACATAAGTTGATCAATATTGGTACTTAGAACGACCTTTAAATAGCACATAAGTCAGGTTCTGGTACATATTTTTGTAGTTTCTATTCTTATCACCTTTAAATCTTCAGGAATTTCTTTGTTGTTGAATCAAGATAAATCAATCGCTAGAGTTTGGTAATTGTGGAGTTTGTTTTTTAAATAATGCAATTTTCAATTTACATCCTTATAAAAAGTACAAAAATTGTTGTTACACGCCATTCAAAGAAAAAGAAAATAATGTAACCGTTATTATTATCCTCTCATTAAAACACCAAGTCGAATTTTATATTTTTACATAATGTCACATTATAAATTATCATCATCGTTATCAACAGAAAGGAAGGGTTTTGTAATTAAAATTAACAATGAAATGCGTAATAATGCTAATGCTAATTCTGATAAAGAAAATAGAAAAGATTATTTTTTTTCATTGGTCAAAAAAAAAAGGAGCTTTCTGAAAATGAAAAAGAATTTTGTAGAGAAAGGTTTATTTATGAGTATGAATTACAGAATGCAACATATAAATCAGGAAAACCAAAAGAATGTAACAAGTGTAAATTGACAAGATACTCTGATAGGTTCTGTGAAGGTTGTATTTCACAAAAAAAAAAGTATCTTTTACCTGAATAGGACTTGGTAAACCAAACCAAACATTAAATAGAGTTCCCAGTCCATATTTCTTTAAAATTGATAGTGAGTAGGGATAGAAATTTAATCGTTTTGCCAAATCATCAATGTAGGGCATCATTTCTGACTGGATAGTATGTCTGGAAGATGAATAATATTTTTTACGAATTTCATCATGATACTTTCCAATAGATTTATTCATTTCTTCAACTGATGGTAAAGGTGGAGCATAGCCCTTTATCATACTTGTGACCCATCTTGATTGTACTTCACTAATTGGCATGACTGCACCAATTTGTTGAATTAAGCCTATAAATGCTATATTAGGATAATTAGGTGGAAATATGAATTTGTACATCCAAGACAAATTTTCTCTGTACTCTTCTTCAAATTGACTGGAAATCTTTTCGCCACCATTGATGATTTCTTTATCCAAAAATGGATAATCAATTAAATATCCAGTGGCATAAATTATAGCATCTATATTTTCAACAACAGTGCCATCAACAAATCTAACTGATCTGCTTTCTCCAGGTAACAATTCTTCTATATTTGGTTTTACTTTGATTGTTCCAGTTACCATACGTTCATAAAAGTCAGATTTCACAGATGGATGGGCTTGTGATGGTTGAGTTTTAGGCCGAAATTCTGATGGTGGTGCTCCTATTGTCATTTTTATAATTGTTTTGGTCACAAAATCTGATAAAAAACTTGGTATAATAGTTGAGTTGAACCTTGTTTTTAAATGATCAATTGGAGTTCCACCCATAACTAAACGAGGTATAATCCATGGAAGTTTTCCTCTGCGTGAAATTAGATAAACTTGAGATGCAACATGTGACAATTCAACACTTATATCCATCCCACTATAAAATATTTTAAGGTTGTTAATATTAATTGACAAATTGAATTTTTCTAAAAAATATATTTTACCTGTTACCAACTCCTACAACAATTACACGTTTATCTTCAAATGGACTTGGTCTAAAATAATAAAATTTATTGTAAAAGAGAAATTTCACTGCTAAATAATAACTGATGAAAGCAACAAGAACAATACCTTCTATAGAAATGAGAATGTAATTGCTGGCCAGCAAATATGTCCATTCCTTTATATTTAGGCAATTTATATTTATGATGATGACCTGTACAAACCATGACATAATCAAATATTTCTTCTTTTTCGACTCCTTCACCTTTTGCAATATATTTAATATTCCATTTTTTATCAGGAAGAAGTGAAACATTTAAAACTGATGTATCAAATTTAATATATTTATGAAGTTTTAAATGTGCATACAATTTACCTCCTGCCTTACATTCATTTGAAAATAATGTGTCTCCATGTATATTAATGAATAATGAAACTGAGATATAAGATAATGAATCAAGATCATCAATATTTTCTGAAACAAAACCATGTTTCCCACCTATCAATTGATATGTTGCAAGAACCTTTGCTATACATAAAATTCCATCAGCACACACAAGAAAGTAACCATCATTTTCTAATTGATGGGCTTTAGAAACATTAGCACAGCCTATATCAGTGACTAAAAAGAATATATTTCAAAGTACACATGTAGTAAAGGGGTGTTACACTTATGTTTTTAATAGTGAATGCCGTAATTAAATTTCTACTTTCTACCATCAAAATCACCAAACCAATTTGGGCTACATGTATAATACAGTCAATCCCTTTTACAGTTGCTCCTTTTGGGACAGGTACAATTATAAAAAAGTTAAATTACACACCCCTACAAAAAGTATTGACTCACTTGGGGGCTGTTCTAGGAAAAAGTGGGTTTCTTCAGATTTTTTGTTTTTGAGATATTCATAAAAACAAAAAGCACCCC